TACCCAAATCCAAAGACTGGAAACTGGGATGCTTAGGGAACACTGCAGTTTGAAAATGCTGGGAATTTTCTAATACTTCTAAAACAGGCACTCTCTGCAAGGGCGGCTTTGTCCTGAGGGAGTAAAAGCTGGTTCTTCAGGGAGAGGGGATATTTACTTTAAAGCTCAGATATATACATACAGTGTGTAATAGGTTTGTAGTTTATCTGTTGTATTAAATCTTCATGGGCCGGATAGGACAATTAGGAAAAGATATTTTAAAAGGCTCCTTATGGGGCAATAATCAAAAATGGAAACAAGGTTGTGAAGCAAGGTGTCCCGTGAGAGTGAGCACTGTCTCGCACAATGCCCAAGCTTTTCTCACAGGCAGAAGAAGTCACAGTTCCTGCCACCTAATCCTTGAAAGTTTCCAGTCATTACGCCATGTGGTCCCCACAAATCTCCCCGTGAAGTCACTAAGGAAGATACAAGAATTAACTGATGAATTTAAGGGACAGATACATAATCAAGTTTCAAGTTAAAAAAAAAATAAAAGGTAGAAGACATCGAGTATATACCTATCAAATCCAAAGACTGGAAAATATAAGGAGCAAATCCTGTGCTCTCACTACAAAGGTTATGAGTCACAGAAAAATTACTGAAATGAGTCTTTTAAAGACTCTTCGAATATTGTCTTTGTTTAATGTTGCACAAATCAATTGCGTAAGTTTTTTCATACTATCACTTTAAAGCTTCTTTATCTTTATGACAAAAACAATTAAAATGCCTATGGCTTAAAGAGAGTGGTCCTCTAGCTTCCTATGACGTTAAACCACTAAGAAAAAAAGGTCCATGGTCCAGTGGGACGCTGCACACCTAGACCTCATCCACAGACTCCCAAAGCTGAGATTTTAGCGCTCGCTCACACTGAGGAGTCTGCCTGCCTTGGTCAACACCTGTGTTTTCCAAATAGCTTTTCCCCTGCTTCACGAAACATGCTAAAACTCTGGGGAATCTGCTCTGGGGATTTCTAGATTAAAATTCAGATTGACAGCTCACCAGACGCACAAACTGCAGACCCAATTTCAGGGATTTTCAAAACTGATATAAAAGTTTGAAGCAACAACCGCCAGTAATTTGAAACACAGCAACATCAGCCGCTTGGACAAACAGCTCCACGCCTTGGTGCCTGTGTAGAATAAGCCTCCCAGAGCTCTCGCGAGTCCTCTGTCTGGGAGGACAGAGACAGCAGTTCGCACCCTCCCTCACAGCCTCCCGCCCCCGCCGTCCTCTCGCGAGAATGGCCATGGTGGGGGGTGGGGCTTTCTTGCCTCAGATGCGCCCCTTTGCTCATTGCTCAGCCCACCGTCTTCTTCCTCTCCAGGTTGGTTTTGAAAGTTTAAAAAGGGATGAAACCTAACAGAGCGTTCCAAAGAAATAGTCTTCTGGCTCCTTGGACTAGAAGCCATGGATAAAAGTGGCCCAGGGCAAGTCACTTCTTGTTCCCATCTGGGCCTCAGTTTCCCCGCTGGCCAAAGGGAAGGAGGAGGTGATGTGGCTTCTGAGTCTCTTCCAGTCTGAATGAGCATCGGTGAA